TTGTACGCCACGAGGTGGCTTGATATTGATATGAGGTCGAGGACCTGTTTATGATGCCACGAGATGGCTTGTTATTGCGCTTGGGCCGTAAGGGGCCCCTCCCGGAGTCTGTACACCCCCCAGTGAGCGCGGGTACCCAGTGTGATGTGAGATATAGCCCGAGGGGCTGGTATTGTTCGATGTGATTGCCCGAGGGGCTGATACTATCTATGTGATTGCCCGAGGGGCTGGTACTGTTCTATGTGATTGCCCGAGGGGCTGGTATTGTTCTGAGATATTACCCGAGGGGCGGAGTTGTTGACATTGTGCCCGAGGGGCGAACCTTATGTGCTTATCTTTCTTATTTGCCGTCATTTACTTGCTTAATTGTGCATTTGTGCCCGAGGGGCGGATTTCTGTGCTTACTTGCACTAGTTGTTCTGCATTCATTTGCGCAACTGTTGAAAAGTCATTTTCAAAAGAGTTTAACTGAGCTAAGATGATTTAAAGGATTTTAAAGCTTCATTTCTTTCTTACTGGTTTTGAAACCGCTTCTATATAGCATGTTGATGCCCTTTTCGTGATTTCTTATCGCTCAGTCTTTATTTATGATTATTACTCACTGAGTTGGCAGTACTCATTTTACTCCCTGCACCTTGTGTGCAGATTCAGGTATTTTCTGAGCTTGGTGGCAGTTGACAGTGGAGTTAGCAAGGTAGCTGCCGGCGTTCACAGCACTGCTTTCTCTCTCTTCATTCTATTAGACTGTACTGAGTATATTTCAGACCTTGTTAGTTGTATTTAGACTTAGTAGATGCTTATGACTAGTGACACCCTAGTTTGGGCTGTGTTTGGGTTGTACTTCCGCCTTGTTATGATATTATCCGCTGTTTAGTATTATTAAATCATGTTTTATCCTGTTGTATTGTTGTTTAGCTGTTTAACTTCGAATTGGAAATGTGTCGGCTGGCCTTGTCTTCACGAGAGGCGCCATCACGACCGGGTATGGGTTTAGGGTCGTGACAGTTTCCCCTTCTTTTGACTTGTAGGATGGAAAAAATATGCATTATAATTGCTTTTAATGGTAGATGGACTGAAGACTATAAATATCTTAATTATCAAACAAAGCTTGTTCTAGTACCTGAGGAAATTCGGTTTGAAGATTTCATTAAACAGATCTTTGAAGTTATTGAATTGGATAGACACAAGTTTGAAGTAGTAATATGGTTTGATATCAACCTTGGAACAAGCAAGGGAATGCTTGCATCCAAAGATTTAGATCTTCACACATGTATAGAGTTACTAAAAACTCATTCACTCTTCAAGGCTGTCGTTTCATTGTTGATATTTCGGAAAGAGTTTTTGGATCAACAAGCAACGAACATGTCAACGCAGAAACTCAACATGATAATCAAAACAAATGCCAAAAAATAATGGAAATAGATATGGTTGAAGCTCAAGCAATAACTGAAGAGGGGCTTCAAACACATGTCAACAGAGAAACTCAACATGACAATCAAAACAAATCCCAACAGATAATGAAGCTCAACAAAATAACTAAAGAGGTGCTTCAAAAATTTGATTCTATTCAAGTAGAAGGACAAAGCATTATAGAGATTGACAACGAACAAGCTTTGGGTATTCAAGTCTTAGAGAGTGCACCGGTAATCGAAGAAGTTGTTGAAAAAACCTCTACTCAACTAACTAGACGAAGATCAACTTTGAAACAAAAAGAATCCCCAACTACGATATTAAGAGAAAAAGTTTCGTTGGATGAAATAAAAGTGAGATCAGTATTTGACAAAAAGAAGAGTATAATTAACTATTTTTCGAATATAGCAATTAAAGGACATTTTGAATTCAAGGTTGTTAGATCAAGCTCAACAAGATATTCTTTGAAATGCAATGATGATAGGTGTAGTTGGTGTGTGCGTGATTTCAGAATTAAAAATTCAACACTGTTCAAGATAGTAAAGATTGAGGAAAAGCATGACTGCTGTTAACACTATGAAAGCTGATCAAAGGCATGCAACTTCAAAGTTGATTAGTGGTTACATTATCGACAATCTTCGAGACCCAAGGTTTGAAGTTACACCAGCTTTTGTCATGGCAGAGATGCAAAAATTGCATGGACTAGACATTGGATATCACAAGGCGTGGCGTGCTATTCAACTTGCTTCCGCCTTAATAAGAGGAACTCCCGAAGAGAATTATAAATTATTGTCTTCATACTTGTATATGATGACAAGTAAAAACCTGAGAACTTATACTAACATAAAGATAGACGACAACAATAGGTAAACAATCAAAAAAAATTTATTAGTTCGTTTTATAAAATTTAGGACATGCTGTCTTTAAGCAGTTAACTTCTGAGTTGTAACCAGAAGTTCAGGACTGGATGTCCTTAACTTTTGAACTTGTAATTCAAAGTTAAGGACTGCCTGTCCTTAAGTTTTGAACTTTGAACTCAAAGTTAAGGACTGCATGTCCTTAACTTTATAACTTGAAACTCTAAGTTAAGGACTGACTGTCCTTAACTTTTAACCTTGTAATCTGAAGTTCAGGACTACCTGTCCTAAACTTCTGCTAACCTTGTTTTATATTGTATTTTCAGGTTTCTTTATATGTTTTATGCATATGGATCATCAATATCTGGTTGGAATCATTGTAGACCAGTGATTGCTGTTGATGCAACTTTTTTGAAGTCAAAATATCGTGGTGTTTTAATGATTTCAGTTTCAAAGGATGCAAATAACCAAAATTTCCCACTAGCCTTTGGAATAGCAGAATCTGAAAATAACAATTCCTATGAGTGGTACTTTAGTCAACTTCGCAATGCAATTGGGAGCCGTGAGAATTTAATTTTTTTATAAGACAGGCATCAAGCTATTGCATATGGCATTGCAAAAGTATATCCTGAAAGCCATCATGGGATTTGCATCTATCATTTGGAGCAGAACCTAAAGCGAAGGAAGGTGAAAAGTGAGGTCATAAAACTTTTCCAAAGTGCTGCAAGAGTATACAGGCGCAAAGAATTTGATCTATACATGTCAGATATAGGAAAAGTAGATAAGAAGACTATGACTACTTGATGGAAGAACCACCGGAAAGGTGGGCACGTTCTTGTAGTCCACGACGAAGATATAACATGCTCACAACAAACATAGTTGAGTCAATGAATTCTGTCCTATTAGAAGTAAGGGAGCTGCCTATATTAAGGATGATGGATTTCATTCAAGTGAAGCTACAACGTTGGTTTTATGAAAGAAGAAATGAAGCAGAAGGAACTTTTTATGATGTTTCTTGTTGGGTAGAGGAGGAATTGAAGAAAAAAATAGATTTAACATTTACTTTGAATGTAAGTATTATGTTCTATGTTTAGCTTATGATTTTAATATAATTTAACATAATGTACTAACTTATAATTTTTCAATATTGAAGGTCTTCCCCGTTGATTCATGGCGTTCTAGAGTTGAAGAAGAAGGAATAACTTTCTTGGTGGACTTAAACAAAAGAACATGTGATTGTTTTCTGTTTCAATTTGATGAATTACCATGCATACATGCAATTGCAGCTATTGAGAAGAGAAACATCAAGAAGTCAAACTTTTGTTCGCAGTGGTACTTAAAGGAATCTTGGTTGAAAACATATGAAAGACAAATACATCCTATAGGACATACTGATTCTTGGATTGTACCAGAGAGTGTTAAGTCACAAATTGTTAAACCTCCAGATTTTAAAGTGCCACAAGGTAGAAAGCAGAAGAAAAGGCATATTCCAGCTACCGAGTCATCAAAAATAACATTCAAATATAGTCGTTGCAGAAGAATTGGTCATAATATAACAACTTGTATATTCTCCGGCAGTCCATCCATTTTCAAGAAAGCATAGAGAATAGTAGATATATCCACTTATGTTTATCGACTCTTTTAAGTTTTTGCTATAAATTGGATTCATTATGATTATTCTTATTTGAGCAGATGTCTGAATTTTCAAAATTTCTTTCTGCTTACCTTCTTTTTGTTTCTTTAGAGTTCAAAGATTAAAAGTTAAGGACAGGAGCTCGTAACTTTGACTTGCAGGTTTAAAAGTTAAGGATAGGCAATCCTTAGCTTTGAGTTTCAAGTTCAAAAGTTAAGGACTGTCTCTCCTTAACTTTGAGTTACAGGTTCAAAAGTTAAGGACAGGCAGTCCTTAAGTTTGAATTACATGTTCAAAAGTTCAGGACATGCAGTCCTAAACTTTGAGTTACAGGTTCAAAAGTTAAAGACAGACAGTCCTTAACTTATAGTTCAAAGTTCAAAAGTTAAGGACTGTTTGTCCTTAACTTTGAGTTTCAAGTTCAAAAGTTAAGGACAAGTAGTCCTTAACTTATAGTTCAAAGTTCAAAACTTAAGGACTGTCTGTCCTTAACTTTGAGTTTCAAGTTCAAAAGTTAAGCACAAGAGTACTTAAGTTTGACTTGCAGGTTAAAAAGTTATGGACAGACAGTCCTTAAATTTGAATTACACGTTTAAAAGTTAAGGATAGGCAGTCCTTAACTTTGAGTTCAAAGTTCAAAGGTTAAAGACTGTCTGTCCTTAACTTTACAAAAGTTAAGGATAGGAGTCCTAAGTTTGACATGCATGTTCAAAAGTTAAGGACAGGCAGTCCTTAAGTTTGAATTACACGTTCAAAAGTTCAGGACAGGCAGTCCTTAACTTTGTGTTCAAAGTTCAAAAGTTAAGGACACTTGGTCCTTAACTTTGAATTTGAAGTTCAATTACACTTGGTCATGAACTATGGACAAATCAACACTTGAGAGAAACAAAGAAATTAATAACACAGTGACTTGATATTACTTCTGAAATTGTTTTTGCATAGCCGTGACAAAAAATTATGCTATGCAAACAAAATATAAGTGCCTTTTAAGGAATTTACAGAATATTTCAGAAGTTTTCTGAACTTGCAGAATTCATATATATCCTTTACAGCAATTTTATACAAAAGATTAACCACAACTAACTTTCTTTACAAGTAAACTACAACTCCTTCGGACAGCAAGTTTCATTTTCACTCTCATAATCATCGCCAACATTTTCTGGTGGAGTATCATAACGAGAATTTCTTTTCCATTTACCGTGTGCCCAAAGATTTGCGGCAAGTTCTTTTCTAAAGTCTTTTATTTCTTCAGGTTGGAATTTCTCCACATCCTTTCCAATCATCAACAACTCCACATATTTGATCAGGAATGCACCACAATCAGTCCTAAAAAAATGTAAGATATGCAGTGAATTAAACAATAAATCAAAAGTACTAATAAATAATATAACAAATAACAACACGTACGATCCAGTTTGGTGTGGTGATCTTTGCCACTGAATATCAAATTTGTTGAAGGCATTTCCAAAAGACTTGTGATGTTTGTCAAACTGTGAGAACTTTAGCAAGTGGGGGATCATGCGTGCATACATTTCCATGTGATTCATTCCTGCCTCATGTGGCTCACTATATATGGAATCGTATACATCAATCTTTTTCTGATTCAAGTCCAATACGCCCAAAAGAAAGTGTGTCACAGCATTATCATCTTCAGAAGGAAGCCGACATGGAAAAAAGATTTTGTCCACCTCTGTCCAAGCAATTCCACATCTACGGCTGTCCCCCCACACATATGGTGTCAGAAACAACTGATTATCACCAGCACACCAAAAGTCATCAGTAGCATCTTCACTGAAATCTTTATACACAAGCACCATATAGTTATAAAAAAGAATATCAGTAGTTGTGCAACGAAAAGGATGGTTGCGAGGGTGGTAGCATTCCTTCTTTCTCAGATAATATAGGGCAATGTCAATCTGCTTCATAAAAAATAAAACAAATCCATCAGTCATAAAATAATTAAAAAATATAAGAATAAAGAAAATAAATGCCTTGCGTATTATCTAACCTTATCATCAAGTACAAATCTGCTATCTGAAAGCTCAAGGAAGAACATTTTGCTACTGATTTTTTGATGATACAATTTGTATAGATTCTTCCTCACACCATTATCATCAACATATATATCAGTTTGTCCCCTGAAAATTTTGAAAATATCAAAGTTAGAAGTTAGTCCTGAACTTAGCCTTTCAAGTTGAAAATTAAGGACAGGCAGTCCTTAAATTTGAATTAGAGGTTCAAAAGCTAAGGACACTTGGTCCTAAACTTAGACTTACAAGTTTAAAAGTTCAGGACACTTTGTCCTAAACTTAGACTTGCAAGTTTAAAAGTTCAGGACACTTTGTCCTTAACTTTGAGTTCAAGTTCAAAACTTAAGGACTGTCTGTCCTTAACTTTGAGTATCAAGTTCAAAAGTTAAGGACAGGAGTCCTTAAGTTTCACTTGCAGCTTCAAAAGTTAAGGACAGCCAGTCCTTAACTTTGAATTACAGGTTCGAAAGTTAAGGACGCATGGTCCTAAACTTTGATTTCCAAGTTGAAAAGTTAAGGACACTTGCTCCTTAACTTTGATTTTCAAATTCAAAAGTTAAGGACACTTGGTCCTAAAATTAGACTTACAATCAGAAGTTAAGGAAACTTAACTATTGCAATTTCAATATCAATACTGAAATACATTAAGGGACTTACTCTTTTTTGCGACCTCTCATTTTCTCCTTGCCCAACCACACAAAGAATTTCTTCAATAATTTTGCATCATCTGTGGCATAATGAAAAATACACCTACGAGTATATGTAGATTTTATCCAGCCTGAACTCTTGGGAGTATTTTGATTGTCTGCCATCGATGTTGCTGTTTTTCTTTCCTGATCAAAAGGAGATTTCAACTACCAACTTAGCTTCTTGTTCCTTTTCCCACCAAGCTCTTCTTCAACATTTCCTTCAACCTCCATAGACAAACCCCGATCAATGCTCATTTGTGTACTTGGAGGAGTAGGAGTAAGAATAGAAAATGACGGACCATCATAACCAATACTATCTCTCTTTCTTTTC